ACATCCAATGCCCCCTCAAATCAATTCCAGTTTCATTCGAAACACTTCTCAAGATCGCCAAAGCAAGCAATGCGTTCCAAATGTTAATTGTTCACAAAAAAAAAATACCCATTGGGGAAAAAATATTCCGCAGGACGTCATCGTTCGACCTGCAGATTTATGCTTTTTAACGAAATCAGAATCTCCGTTGGGACAGCAGTGGGGTCCCGATGTAAGGGTCGATGCGACAGAAAAATTTCCGATTCGAGCGCGCTGAATCGACGTGTGACCGTTCTCTCTTAATTTTCGCGAAAATTTGCACGATGACCTACAGTTTTTTTTTTCTTTTTTTTGCTTGTACGCAATCTAAAAAGACGCCGGACAGTCAAGCGTAACGTCGAATTCAAGATTACAGAGAATTCTGCAGGCTGATGCGATTGGAAAGTATGTGGTTGGGAAAAATTTCTGACTCGAACGTTCAGGATAGATGTAACTGACCGGTCTTATTTGATTTTCTCAAAAATTTCCACGATTCTTTTACATACAGGGTGTTCGGCCACCTCTAGCAAAAATTTTATTGAGCGATAGTAGAGGCCAAAATAAGACGAAAATCAAGAATACTAATTTGTTGGTGGAAGCTTCGTTAAAAAGTTATTAACGTTTAAAGTGCCGCTCTTACTGAATTTTTTTCTCGAAAATGCGCAAGATTTCGGGGGTATGTCTATTCACCAAAAATGACTGTAATTGAACCCTACAACCGAAAATAATTTTTCCACAACGATTTGCAATTTTTTAATTTTCTCGAATAATTTCACACCTTCTCTATTTTTTTTCTCGAAAGTGGGCAGGATTTCGTGGGTATGTCTAATGACAAAAACTGTTTGTAATTGACCCCCGCAACCGAAAATAATTTTTCCACAACGATTTGCAATTTTTTTTCTCCGTTGAAAAATTTAGGCACCTAATTGGATTTTCAGTAAGGAATTTTTTTCTCGAAAGTGCGTACAATTTCGGAGGTATGTGTAATGATAAAAAATGATTGTAATTGACCCCCGCAACCGAAAATAATTTTTTTAGAACGATTTGAAAAATTTTTTTTCGCCGAAAAATTTCAGCACCTACTCGATTTTTTTTCTCGAAAGTAGATAGGATTTCGGAGGTATGTGTACTCACCAAAAATGATTGTAGTTGACCCCCGCAACCGAAAATAATTTTTCCAGAACGATTTGAAATTTTTGAATTTAATTGTTAATAACTTTTTAACGAAGCTTCCATCAACAAATTAGTATTCTTGATTTTCGTCTTATTTTGGCCTCTACTATCGCTCATTAAAATTTTTGCTAGAGGTGGCCGAACACCCTGTATACAGGGTGGCCCACGCAATTGTTACAAGTCATAACTCCGTTATTATTGCATTTCCGAAAAAATGCCAAAGGAAAAAGATAAATGGTTCGAAGATCATTACATCTGTAGGCCTTAAAATTTTGTTTAGATGCAGCAGTGCATGTGCAATTAACAATTGCATCATTTCTTTAAATAGAAATGCATATTTTTTTTACACAAATCGATTCTTTTGTTCATTCTACGTAAAAAAATGATTAGGGTACCATGGCCAAAAAATTATTAGATCTCGAGATATTTTCAAAAAATGTCTTTATTGAAGCAGATACTCAAACACTTCATGACTATGTTGTAAAGGTAAACACCCTTTCGATATTGTTATCATAACAGAAACTTTCTAAAAAATAAGTTTTGCAATAACGTTATCGCAATAAATACATCAATACGTTGGCCAGCCCGTTCACCTGATTTAAGTCCCCTTGACTTTTTTCTGTGGGATTATTTGAAAAATAGAATTTATTCAAATCCCATAGATTCTATAGAGAATCTGAGAGAAAGAATCATACTGGAATGTGCAGCAATAACTGCAGATAATTTAAACGCAGTTATGCAAATAATAAAAAAAAACATTATCAGAAATGTTTAGAATGTAATGGAGAAGCGTTTGAGCTTCTTCTTCAATAAAGACATTTTTTGAAAATATCTCGAGATCTAATAATTTTTTGGCCATGGTACCCTAATCATTTTTTATGTAGAATGAACAAAAGAATCGATTTGTGTAAAAAAAATATGCATTTCTATTTAAAGAAATGATGCAATTGTTAATTGCACATGCACTGCTGCATCTAAACAAAATTTTAAGGCGTACAGATGTAGTGCATTTCGAACCATTTACCTTTCTCCTTTGGCATTTTTTCGTAAATGCAATAATAACAGAGTTATGACTTGAAACAATTGCGTGTATGCATACCACACTGTATGTATGCTACCGTGCATAAGTATTTAGACACTCTATAAATTTGGCTCTATTACAAATTTACTTCAAGATTTCATGTTAAACAGTCATATAGTGACTATAAACACCTAGAAATATTTAAGATATGTACATTTGTACTGTATAATGCATAGATATATGTATATTCTATAGGTTAATGTGTCGCCATCTACAGTGATGATTCTTAAAATGAACTCCAAATTCGTAAGTTGATAATGCCTATAAACACCAAAAAATATGTAACATATGTGAATTTGTTTCAGATAATGCATACATTTATATTCTGTATGTTAACGTGTCGTCATCTACAGTAATTATTCTTAAACTGGATCCCAAACGTAATTCGTAAGTTGAACATTTCTAGCCGGGGAGATCTCCCTTGGAGCCAGTAAAGCGTGAAAGACGAAATTTAAAGAAAACAATACAAGCTCAACCCCGGAGCGATGTTTATCATAAGAATCATTACTGTATTGGTCAAAGAGGCGGACACATAGATGAACGCAATATTTAATAATTTTTATTAATTTACTACAACATTTTTCAATCTACCTTGCACACAAATGAAATAAAGTTATAAAATGTTTAATCGTATCTTGTCCAGAGTCCAAATACTTACGGTAGTGTACGTAACTTAAAAGACGTTAGGCAGTCCAATAAACATATGTATTAACGTCAATTTACAATTGGAACGAATTCTGTCTGCAAACCGATGCGATTGGAATGTCGTTGGGAAAAATTTGTAACTCGAACGTTCAGGATAGATATAACCGGTCGGTCTCGCTTAATTTTCTCGAATCTTTGCACGGTCGAGCTACAATTTCATCCGCTTATACGGAACTTGGAAGACGCCAGGTAGCCGAATTTCTCGACCTTCGAACGAAAATTGGATAAAATGTACGCGTTTAAGAACGACGAATGTCTCTGGGGATCGGTGCTTCCACCGATTGCGAACCACTGTTCTAGATCAATCAAATGGAATGGTTAATTGTGTCTGTGACAATATTCCTATATCAAGTAATGGACTTGAGAGGATTGGTCGAGTAAAACTGAGTCAAACCGAACTCAGTCCTCTGTTACCTCTCTGGTAATCGAATTACATAAGCGTGTGTCGAGTTCGTGGAAACGCACGCTCGTAGAAACCGAATATGCAGTAAATTCTGAAAATGTCCCCGGAGGCCGATGAAAACCTTAAACTTGGCAAAAGATGATCTCGATGCTTCGAACTGTCAGATGAAAATTAACGAAACGCGAACAGGACAACGAAAAATTCGGAATTCGGCGTTGGATACCAAAGTATCGTAATCGGTTTGCAACGTCTCTCGAGAAGCGAACTATTACTACAAATAATTGATAAATAACTTCACCAAATAGATATAAAATTTAATTTGAGAGAAGGAAATGAAATATAAAGAATCTAATGTAAACTGAACAGTATTAAATGGTAGAAATGTCCTCGACATTGGCTCGGAATTTAGTATGAAGAACAGAGATATCGATAGTTCAATGGTGTAATCTTCACTTTATAATGTTTTTAGCGTTTCATAGTCTATCAATGTTCATAACTTTACAAGCGCACTTAGTATACTATTATTGTTATTTATTAAAAACATATAGACTCTGAAAAAGATAATTTGCGTGATTAAGGGAGGAAATCACTGTGACGATTGAAAATAAAGGCAATTTTCACGAATTTTTTACTTCTTCTAAAAATTTTGTATAAAAATATTACTTATTGTAGCCATATATCTACTAAATCTTTCGTAACTTTGTCATTCTTGCGAATTTTACTTTAATATTTTAGGGAATCATTCTCAAAATCCCAAGCATTGAAAAAAGGTAAACAACAAAAATTTCGATTTTTTCAATTCGTCATAGTGGTTTCCCCCCTTGACACTAGAACTACCGACAATTATAGTGTATTTATTTATACCAGAGAAATTAAAACGATAGATATGTGAAGAAATGTATAATACAATAGCAATAGGTGCTTATTCATTCCCCAATAGAAAGTTACGGTTCAAAAACTCAGTAAATTTTTTACAAGTTTTATTAAAAATTACTAATGGGTTTTTTTGACTGGTTTGGTAGTTCTAGTGTTAATACCGATAACTATAAATTATCTGTAAAAACGAATAAAAAATGCAGACGTTTGCTTCATCTACTAATAGAAATCTTGTATAGCTACTTGATCAAGTTATTCATTAATTATTTGTCGACACTGACCAATTAATATATCAATATTTGTAACCGTTAAAACCGTTCGTAAAACTCGTATAAGCTCTCGCTATTCGTCGTTGTTGCCTGTTATTCGAATAAAATTGCGCCAGAGGCTGCATCAGAGAATCGTCCCGAGCAAACAGAGTCCCCGACTTCCTCTAAATATCGCTCACGTCCGTTCCCCTTGAAGCTGATGGTCCTCTGAAAAATTCACCCCTAGATCTTCCTCGACTTGAGCAGCAATACCGAGAAACAGGAAGGGAGACAACCCTCTTTATCGCCCGAGCTTCGCTGCTTGTTAGGATCTCGTTGGGATCTCCGAGATTTTTATGGGTCACGGGACTACTTAAGAATCCCAGTCTCGGGCTCTTTGAGGTCGCCTTTCATGGACCGTCGATCGAGTCATAATCCGCGACGCGCGTGCAGGTGCGAAAAGATGAAAAACATAGCGGTATGCATCGACACTCACCGCTGTCGAGGCTGTTCTGGTTCTCCAAGTCCGGTCCCTGAACGGACGAGGGCCTGCCATCTTGTAAATATTCTGTAACAAAACGTATTTGCACCGTCAACTTCGTTACAACGAGATTGTGGATGTTTAGTCACCGTAAGAAGTTAATAATTTAATAGAAACTTAAATTTGAAATAAAAACGAATTTCATTTATTCAGGTTTCAACGCAGTTCCCTCTTCTTTCAATATATTAACACATTAACGACGGGGCAGTTTTATTAAAACTTTCCTATACAACGGGTGATTTTAATGATAATAGAACTCCTTCAACATGTGTATACTAAAAATATGATAAGTATTTTTGTAATTAATATATTTTATTGAAATTTTCAGGAGTTATATGTGGATAATATTAGAATTTTTTTCTTGTGTCATTGGAGAAATTACTAGAAAAACACATACTTGTCGTAAAACGAGAATACTTGTTTCCCGTTAGTAATGTGTTAATATAAGCGTCTTTTAACACTTTGACTACCTGACATCGTTTTTGGATAATTGGAAACTAGCATACCCATAATTTGTCATAGAACTTATTTTTTCAGTCTCGTTAAAATTCAAGAGGTCTATTATTTTATAGCTGGATTTATTTTTTTTAATATCCAACCTTGAGAATTAATTTTTTTAGCTCCTTAATGAAAAGTCATGTCATATGTGAGTGACGCGATAGTCAATGTGTCAAAGGCCGTGAGAAAATCATTTTGAGGAATGTTCTTCCAGCAATTTGTCACCATTAAAAGACAGAAATTCATTGAAATTTCCTTTCATCGACCATTTCAATTTTAGAAACGAAAAGAAATTAGCTCTAAGTCTGATAAATATGGGACAGGGGAGTGAAGAATGATTGTAAATGTAATTGTAAAATGTACATTTTCCTCTTTTCTACATATACATATATAGAACATATAGAAATATGCGAAACGTCTTATATTTTTGTCCAGTACTGTAAGGAAGCGCGTGTCAATTTTGAAAAACGACACATCATTGAAAAAAGAAATGGCGGAGAATTATACAGGATGTTTAGCTACCCCTGGGAACAATTTTAATGAGGAATTCTAGAGATCAAAATAAGACGAAAATCAAAAATACTAATATGTTGATAGAGGCTTCATTAAAAAATTATTAACGTTTAAAGTTCCGCCCGTACTGAATTTTTTTCTAGAAATTGGGTAGGAATTCGAAGGTAGGTCTATTCACCAAAAATTATTGTAATTGACCCCGGCAACCGAAAATAATTTTTCCAGAACGATTTGAAATTTTTTTTTTTCGCCGAAAAATGTCACACCTACTCGAATTTTTTTCCAGAAAATGGTTAGGATTTCGAGGGTATATCTAATGACCAACTATGATTGTAATTGATCCCCACAATCGAAAATAATTTTTTCAGAATAATTTAAAACTTTTCAATTTTGCCGAAAAATTTCAGCACCTAACCCCTGTCGATTTTTCTTCATAATTCGTTTTTCTAATAGTTTTTTTTTGTAGGTGCCCGTGAGCTCTACGACAGAAAAAAGTTTCATTGAAATATATTCACTATTGTAGGAGTTGTGGACGTTTGAAAATTGGACCATTTTTATGGGGTTTTTCTTATTTTGCGGGGTCAAGGAACAACTTTTCGAATATTTTTGCGACTTCTACATATTCTCCACTAAAATACGCGTAGTTTGCATATTGAAACATTAAAATCATTTCGCATGAAATTTCAAGGAAGCATTTCTTGCCTCATATTAGATTTTCGGTAAAGAAGTTTTGTTTCGAAAGTGCGTAGGATTTCGGGGTATGTCTATCACCAAAAATGTTTGTAATTGACCCCTGTAACTAAATATGATTTTTTTAGTATAATTTGAAATTTTTTAATTTCATCTAAAAATGTGAAATTTTTTAATTTAATTTTTTAATAACTTTTTAACGAGGCCTCAATCAACAAATTGGTATTCTTGATTTTCGTCTTATTTTGGCCCCTAGAATCTCCCATTAAAATTTTTCTCAGGGGTAGCCAAACACCTTGTATTGACAGAGGAAAAGAGATTCAACCTGGATGGTCCAGACGGTTTTTACTATTCTTATCATGTACAAAAATAAGAATTGTCAAAAGTGTGACGTTAAATGTACAGAGGAGTATAATTATTTGGGCAGGCATTGATTACAATGGAAAAAATGGAATCATCGTTATTGGCACTTGAATTTATTTATTGTGATTTAAGGGGGGGAAGCTTATGTAAAATGAAATTTTGGAGCATTTTCTTTTTGCTTAAATTGATAGGAAATTTCCTCAGGAATACGATAAAAAAAGTTAGAAAGTGATCTGAGAATTCCTTGTACCCTATTTTCAAAATAAAATGAACAGTTGTATTGGGCGCATCGTCTCGGGTAGTCGAATGCTCGTCGGACGCTTGGTCTTATGATTGCTTTGTCATTTAACTGTGTTACAACCAATTGTGTGTATATCGATTCTGAAAAACGTGTTCCCTCGCTCGGTTCAGCAGCGTCTCTCGATTCAAATCAGTCGTTCGCAGAGCATTTTAAAATAAGTATATAGTGTAGGCAAATTGGTAGAGATTGTAAAAATTTTAGTGGCCAGATGCTCAACAGCCAGGCAGACCGGGACGGGGACACAGGTTTATGATGCGGATGTGACTTTTGGCTATTTTTTTGGGAAGCAGAAAACGGATTTCGCCAACAACAAAATATCTTAATTTCGACAGTCCGAAGACTGAATAGCGATAGCCGCAACATAAACCTGGTCATCCTAGCAAAGATACAAGGGGTAGCGCACTTAGGTAGGAACCCCACCAAAGCATGTACTAGAAGGCGTGTAATAAGGCGAACACCTAATTGGTGGAAACTGAAAACGCCTAACTTTTGGCAAAAGGTAAAAATCCAAAACAAAACGCTGAGAAACAGACATTGTAGAAATATAGAAGTAACTCCAAGATGCCGTGTAATCAATAGTGAAAATGAGTCGAAAAGTGCAAGATGATAATCCTAATTATCGTCCGAATCGTCCGAGACGACGAAAAGCTTCTAAAAAATTTGACTTGACGAGTGCTGAAACAGGAACTGAAGAGACGAGCGGAGGCGAAGGAACGAGTTCTTCTGCTAAAAAAATAAAAGCTACGTCAACAGATATAATTACTAATTTTACACACTGTTACCGAATTATAAAATTTATCAGTGTTTTTGGCGCAATTTCGGATATTTCTATGTGCAAAACATGTAAACGAAAGCAAACATTTGGAGAAGCGGGCAATCGTGGATTGGGGTTTAAAATCGCCGTTACATGTGCGTGTGGGACTACTTTAATTAATTCAGGACCTTTTGTAAACAACAGTTTTGAAATTAACCGCAGAAGTGTGTTCGTGATGGGTTTGTTAGGCGTTGCACGTAGAGGTATAAATATATTTTGCGGCATGATGGATTTAGGCTGTGAATTGAGTGTATGTGCTTATGACGGCATTATACAGCATATACATACTTCACTGCAAAAAATGTTTAATGATATGTGTCACAAAGCTGTTGGGGAAGAAAAACAGTTTAATGAAAAAAAGGAACAACCCTTGTTAAATCTTAAAGTATTTGGAGATGGTTCCTGGAAAACCGAGGATTTTCTTCACTCTACGGTGTAACGATGCTCATTGAATTTAACTCGGGGAAAGTCATCGATTTATTGGTAAAAAGTAGTTATTGCCAGACATGTATATATTATAAAAATAATTAAAAAAACCCCGAATATTTGGAACATAAAGAAGATGGACATTCTACAGTGAATCACAGTGGCTCTTCGAGTAAGATAGAAGTAGATGCCGTCGTAGAAATGCTTCTCCACTCTGAACAATTACACGGAGTACGTTATAGCAATTACATAGGAGACGGTGACGCTAAAACGTTCAAGGCAATTTTGGATATTGAATCGTATGGTCTTAAGTTCAAAATTAAAAAGAACGAGTGTATTGGGCATGTGGAGAAGAGGATGGGCAGTCGGTTGCGCAATGTAAAGAAAAGTGCAAAATTAAGAGGAAAAGGAAAGCTGACCGATGTGTTAATAAAAAAATTTACAAAATACTACGGTCTCGCTATCAGGCGTAACAGTGATTCGGTTATTGAGATGAGAAAGGCGATAATGGCAACATTTTATCATCTATCTTCAATAAATGAAAAACCGCAGCACGACGACTGTCCTCCCATCGCCGATTCGTGGTATAAGTGGCACATTGCACAAGCCTTGGGACAAGAGTGTGACCATCCACCTCCATTACATGAAGATATGCAAAAACATATTCGTCCAATTTACAAAGATTTGTCACGAGATGATTTGTTGGAGAGATGTTTTTGTGGCATAAAAATTATTGAAATAGCTGCTTTTATGGCTTCCGGCATATTCAACGAAGGATTTTCGTTCGTCCTTCCAACAATGAAAGAGCTCAGAATAGTAATCAGCCAGCAGAGCAAAACATTCACTGATCATGAAAATAAACGCCGTATTAAACAGCAGGAGTGCTGTAGTCTTCATTGCACAAAAGAGACTCGCGCTTCTCTAAAAGAAGAAAAAATGGCTAAATCACAACTTTTCGAAGAAGAGGACGATCTGTTCTATGACCCTGGAATCGCAGATTAGTAGAAAACTGCGGTAAGTTAAAATGAATTACGAATTTTTCACGATTTTTCTGTTACTCAAACTTTAAACGCGTTTTTCTTGAAACGCAAAATTTCGCACGCCGTGCAACAAAGCTCAAAAACTAGTCACTCGATCTTTACGAAACTTGGCACAAATATTCTATAAATAATTGGCCTCAGCATGACGAGCTCCGATTTTTTATTTTTTTATTTAAAACGTTGATATTAACAATTGTTCATAAAGAAAAAATTCTTTTCTTTTTTTAAACTTCGCCATTTTTGCAATTTTGCAAATTTTAGTAAGAGAAGACCATCATGCTGAGCGTTTTTCCATAAACAAACGAATGCATTTTAATTTTTTTGTTTCAGATCATTTTTGGAACTTGTACGCTGCACGGAGCATTTACAAAATGCTATTTTC